TTCTTCCCAAAAAAACCTCTTATTTCTTTTTCATTCTTTGGAGGAGGCAATTCCTTAATGGCCTTAACCTTATCTGAATCAACCTTGATTCCTTCTTGACTTACAATAAATCCTAGAAGTTTTCCGGAAGTTACCCCAAACAACATTTCTGGGGGTTTAATCTTAAGTTGTATTTCCGAATTCTATCGAAGAAAGACTTCAATGCCGATATGTGTTCCATACGGTCATGGCTTTTAACAATCATATCATCCACATACACTTCAACAGTGTCATGAATGAGGTCATGTAGGATGGTTGTTGCAGCACGTTGATAAGTAGCCCCAGCATTTTTTAGTCCGAAGGGCATCGCTTGGTAGAAAAATGTCCCCATGGGGTAATAAACGATGTTTTTGGTGTATCGTCCATCGCCATCAGTATTTGATTATATCCTGAAAAACCATCCATGAATGAGAACATTGCATGTCCCAGTACTATCCACCAAGACATCTATGTGGGGCAGTGGGAAATAATCTTTGGCGATGCTGCATTTAAATCTCTGAAGTCTATGCATACTCGAACCTTTCCTTCCTTTTTGGGAACTATCACCACATTAGCCAACCATTCGGGGTGTTTAATTGGTCGAATGAATTTTGCATCAAGCTGCTTCTGGATCTCCTCTTTGACCTTAAGACTGACTTCTGGCTTCATTCTTCGCAACTTTTGTTGTTTTGGCTTGCTGTCTGGATAGAGAGGAATACGATGTTCAGCTATGTTACGGTCCACACCTGGCATATCGGCGTATGACATGAAAACACATCTACATAGTCTTTAAGTAATGAAATGAATGCAACTTGTTCTTCAGGGGAGAGGGAATAATTTAACCTCTCTTATGTCACCTTCTATGCCTATATATATGACTATGGACTCTTCTATAGGTGTCATGCATGATTTAGGCTCATTGAAAGATTCATTGTCAGATAACTCATGATAATCAACATTAATTTCTTGCATACAAACATGTTTAGATTCTACAAGAGCTTCAAAGTCTTCATGATCAGAAAAGTCAGATTGTGTGTGGAGGGAAAGTTGGCTGGATGAAGAACTATCCGTTTCATAGCCATCTGAGTGGGAGAAATGAATCTCATTCGTTTTTTGAAAAAAGTTTAAGGGAAGGGTCTTTTTAGGTAGAGTTGGTTTTGGGGTCTTTTCGGTTTTTCATTTGGATTTGAACATCACCCTCAACTGGTACTATGAGTGATAATGGATCTATGTCTTCAATATCTCCAAATTTTGTAGAAAATAAATTTCTCAGAACACCATGCTTCAAGTACTCTATCCAATCAATGTATTCCTTTTGTTTAGGCTTCTCGTAAAACCACTTTTCTACCACATCCTCGTCTCTAGCCTCAGCGAAGAAGATTTCCAGTCCAGGAAGTATTTTTTGTGAGGCAAAGTCATACCATGGCTCAGGGAATTCATGGTATGGTTCGGTATCATTTTGTAAAATGAACTGTCCATTGAGTGTTAAAGATGATCTTTTGTGAGTGTGAAAGTCGTGGCTAGGATCATATCCTAAACCATGGCGATTCTTCTTGTCAATGATGGGGATATGGTCCCTCCTTCCTTCATTGTTTCGACCTAAACCTTGACCAGTTATATAACCCATTTTCATCATTAATTGTAGACCCTTAGTAAGTGGCTGGGGCATCAAACCTTGGTTTTTTAGGATGGGATTTTCTAGTCGGCCTGAAAGGTTGGTTTGTTGAGAGGGATTGGTCATATTTGTAAAGAGAGGGCTTCTAAATCAGACGACTGTTTATCCTGGGTGGTTACCTATACAAGGGGTATTAAAGTCAACCAAAGTTGGAAATTCATATGCCAAATAAGAATTTTTTTTTTTTTTAAAAATAAACTTAAGAAATGCATATATATGAATTTTTTTGTTTGGAAAAAAAAAAAGTAAATGACGTTTTGATAAAGGAAAGAAAAGGCCAGTAAGGGTCGTTTATTAAGGTGTTAGATTAGATGCTTCTTTACATACAAGGTACCCAAGATGTTAGAACTCGCTCATTGTTTGACATTTAGCCATGCTACTGAAACCATTTTGGTATGTAAACACGGAGATGTATTATGATTAATCAATAAGGGGAAGTGATCTGAGTTAACAAAAGAGTTTATAGGTGTTCATCTCTCATAATGTTATACCAACTTTGAAAAAAATAAAATAAAGGACAAAGATGTAGAACATGGGCCTGTATCCCTTTAATAATTTTCTTCGGCGGATGTCAAGAAATTCAACAATTTTCTTACGTGCTTGCGTATCTCCTTGTACCTTGTACGAGTCCAAATTCTGCATAATCTCTATTTTGTTTGCAATACACATATAAAGTGGAAGGTTGGTTTTGTGTTTAAGACTCTGAACTCATGCCTGAGTTGCCTACGTACCCCCAATGGCGTGGTGAGAAAAGGAAGTAATGAAGGGTATGGTGATTATAGGAGTTTCAGTGTTATAGTGTGCCATGGGGGATCAAGCTGCACGTTGTTCTTAGGGTAGTAAAAGGAGACATTTTTGTGTATTTTTTATTTTTTTGGTTTTTATTTTTTTGTTGTGGGTTTTTCTTATTTTTTGGTTTTTTGTGGGTTTTTCTATTTTTTTGGTTTTTTTGTGGGTTTTTCTATTTTTTTTGGTTTTTTTTTTTTTTTTTTTTTTTTTTTTTTTTTTTTGTGGGTTTTTCTAGAAGTTGCGTTTAAACGAGGTTGGCTAAGAATGAACGGAAGTGTGGATCATGATTATTTCTTTGTTAATGTCCTGAACCTTCGCTAGGTTCTTCATCATAACCATCCTGCTTCATTTTATACAACCATCTAGCCCATGCTTTACATACTTGAGTACATGCTTTCTTGGTTTCGTTGTCGATCCGTCTTAGAAAGATATGTGGCTCCATGGTTGATTGAATAGAATCTACTTTTGTTACGGGTGTATCTTCTCCATCCGCAGTCACGGCAAATTCCTCATCTTTCATCCAAAAGGGTTCTTCATCACTGGATGATCCATCGGATTGTGGTGCTGGAGATAACCGTTCATTCACATTCATCCGTCCCATTTCTTCACTTAGAGGATCGTATGTCATGAGACTCGTAGGGTCTTCTTCATCATTAGAAGTTGATAAGACATTAATGGATATTAACCTTTTACGACTCAAATGTGATATCTTGGTGATATGTTTGATGCGCAAGGGAAGAGCGTGACATCCATCGGTGTCGTGACCGTGAAGTTGGTGATAATGACAATATTTGTGGAGGTCTACTCCTATAGGGCTGGCTCCAGGTCGTCGAGGAAGTGGTTTAATAGCGCCTTCATCGAGTAATCCTCGAAATATTGCAGATTGAGATGACCATTGTTGCGATGAAAAACGTCGCACAAGATTGTGTCCAGTCCTAGGCCTTGTGTGGATTGGGTCGATTATTCTACGATCAATGAGGTCTTGGATAGAGCATCGAAGATCATAACATGAATTAGTTGTATGGCCAAACTGACTGCAATAACTACAGTATCTCTCCATATTTACTTCAGGTGGCGGGATTGCACATACGTATCCCTTTATTCTTATAAGGCCTTGCCTGTGCAAACGACGATACACCGCACTTAGAGGCTCATTAATTTATGTAAATGATCTTCTGTTAGATGTTTCGGCACATGGATTGACCCTTGGTCTATGGTCTAGTAATTTATATGTGTCGATATTGAACCCATGTTGTTCCATATGCCCAAGAATATTGTATCTCATTGTAACCATTTGACGGTAATAGAAATCATTAAGGTTCTTAAGCATGATGAGCATAAACTCTTTATCTGTGATAGGATTTCGGAGCTTGGATCGTACAACAGAACATCGAGAGCAGAAGTGAGAGAAAGTTTCTTGATTTGTCTGTAGGGTTGTGACTAAGACCAATTTCTGAGGGTCCGTTTGACTAAAATTATAAGCCCAATTAACAAAAGCTTGTGATATCTCATTCCAAGTTGCTTCACCAATGCGTTCAAAACTGTAATACCAAGATAACGCTGCGCCTTCCAAGCTACGATCAAATAATGTAGGGAGGTTTTCTTCTGGGACATCCAAGGGAGGAAGGACATTAACGAACTTACAGAGATGGATCATTGAGTCACCTGTGCCATCAAATTTTTCTAACTTTGGTAGATCTTGATATCTTGGTTCATGTTTATAGCCCGGAAACAAAATTAATTTTTCTGGGCAAATTGGCACTCTAAACATTGGAACATCAAAATCTAAATCAAAGTCATCGCGTGCGTCATTGCTATTTGCATGACTATCGCTGCTAGTCCACGACTCTCCTTCTCGCTCTTGTTGCTCATTGTTAATTCTATCCTCTGGGGTTCTAGGTTCTTCTTCCTTTTCTTGATACAGAGGTTCATCGCCTTCTTCTGGGATCTCAATTGGGTCCTCTAGTTCTTCATTACTATCCTCATCAGATACCTCTATCCACCCACCACTTTGAATGCAAAAGACATTAAAACCATCCAAGCGACTCCCTTCTTCTTCATCTAGGTGTAGCATAGATTTCCCGATAGGTGAGATGTTCATGATATCTGGATTTCCGGGGATGGTTACCGCTCCTTGATCGGTCATTAATTTCACTTTTTGATGTAACGTTGAGGCTACAACCTTGTTTTCATGTAACCAAGGTCTTCCTAGCAAGAAGTTAAATCATGCTTTGATGTCAACCACTGTGAAGTCTACTTTCCTAGCCATTGGGCCATATTGTATAAGTAATTCGATGGAACCCAAAACTTCTCTGGTGGCGTTTTCATAGGCTCGAACCACTTGGCTTGATGGTGCCAAATCATCTTTTGAATGACCAAGCTTAGTGAGCACTCGATAGGGACATACATTGATTGCAGATCCGTTATCCACAAGGACTCTAGGTATTGTCCATCCATTGCATCGAACAGTGATGTGTAATGAATTATTATGGTTTGAAACTTCAGGGAGATCTTCGCCCGTGAACATGAGAGTATGGTCTACACCATGAATAAGGCCTACAATTTGATCTGGAGTAATAGAGGGGTCAACCGAAGCTTCATTCAAATGCTTAAGGACTGCGCTTTGATGAGGTTGCGAGTGCATAAGCAACTTCCATATAGAAACATTAGCATTGACCTCCTTCATTCGCTTGATAGCATCATCTTCTATGTTGACTTCATCTACCATTAGTTCTTTCCCTTTTTCTTTTCTTCGTAAAGCGTCTAATGGATTATCTTCTTCAAGGTAAGAGGGCTTGAAGTGTCGACTTGCTCGAGTTAAATGGGATACTTCCACTACTTCATCATCACTAAAGTCACCAAGGCATATAGGGTGACTATAGTTGTTTGGAGTGGAGAAATAAGCTCCAGTGTTTCTTTCAACAATAGCCATTACAGATGCAGCATCTTCATCTTCCTCACGGTCCAATATAAAGTATGCATTGTCGTAATCTATAGCCCCACACATCATAGCAAAAGGATCCTTGCGGAGGGTATAGTTGTGACCTCTTATCTTGATGATTCTATGGGAAGCAAGTTCATTATCTAGACACCTACCTATTTCAGTCACTAGTGCTTCACATTCACAAAATTCATTTCTGGTGATCAATTGGGTTGGGTCAAAATCATTTGTGTAGGTAGAGATGGCATTTATGGAGGTAGGGGGTTTGTGATTTGGAAGGGGGTTATTTGTGATGCTGGGTTGCGTGCTATTTGGTTTGTTGGCTAAGGTTCCAACAGAGAACCTTCCACCATCTATCAAGTCTTGTAGTCGATTTTTGAATGCCGTACAACTTTCAATGTCGTGCCCGGCTCCTTGACGAAATTCACAATGTTTGTTTGGGCTGTACGTTGGTGGAGGGTTCCTTGGTGGAGGTCTTGGGATCAAAGGTTGGATGAGATTGGCCTTTTTTAGTTTGGAGAATGCCTGGGCATATGTCATATTTAAAGGAGTGAATTGTCTTTGGGGTCGGAGTTGAAATGCCGAGGTTGCCCCAATGTTGTATATCATGTTGGTAGGCTTTGAAGCAGATGCATCATTATTGGTGATCATCTTATTAGCCCCGAACCTTGAACTATATGAGTTGCCATTGTTAAAGTGTTCCTTCTTGATCTTTCCCTTCTTTATGGCGTCTTCAACCAATGACCCAGTTGAGATAAGAGCTTTAAAAGAGGGGAAGTATTGATATGCCATCTGCTTTTGATATACAGGAAGGAGATTTTTCACAATCATCTGCAATTGCTCTTCTTCATTCGGCCTATTTATCATTTTAGCTGCTTTATTTCTCCATCTAGTAATGAAGGAAGAAAATGTTTCATTAATATTCTGTGCAGTTGTCTCCAAATCCCTTCTCGTGATATCAATTTCCTCATTGTATTTATATTGGTTGGAAACTCTCTCACTATGTCGGCCCAAGTGGATTTCTTTGAATTTTCCAGATTCAAAAACCAATGTGAAGCACCTCCATCAAGATATTGTTGAAATAACTGAGCCATCAATGGTTCATCTATACCCCAAGGGCTCATAGCGCCAACATAGAGTTTTAAGAAGTTGGTAGGACTTCCTGTTCCGTCAAAGTGTGAAAGAACAGGCATCTTAAAACCATATGGGAGGCGCGCTTTAGGAAAGAGAGTTAGCCCATGGATGTCCATCCATGGTTCGGCCTGAGTGATACCTTTCAACACTTCTTTCATCCTGGTCATTTCCTCTTCCATCTTAGTGGGAATTTCCCTGTCATTGTTTCCAACTTCCAGTGGGAATGGTGAGGCTACTTCCGATTCTGGCACATTAGGATGCATCTGTGTGTTTTGTTTTATGAAATTCACCACAGTTTGCTCTACAGTATCTTGTCGTTCGATTATGGCTTGCATCATCCCCTTAAGTTCCACGAAAGGATCTAAGCTGAAGCTTGAATTTTGTTGCTCATTGTTTGAAGTTCCAGCCATGCTACTATAGCTGGGAGAGGAGAATATGACTGATATCGGGCAAGGGGAGAACTCTGCAGAAAGGGATCTTCTACAATTAAAAGGGGCTTGGCGAACAAGTCTAGATCCAGCACGGGTCCATATAGAACTCCTGTTAACGAAAATGACATGATAATATGATAAGAAAGGAAAAAAGGAAAGATGTTAGTATTCATGATTGTAACAAATAAACATTAAAAAAAATACGATTAATGAATATTTAACTGAGAGATGAACACCTAAAATACCAATTAATTTGATTATATAAACTTATTTGAAAAGATTCCCCTTTTCCTGAAAAAGAAGTTTTGTCGGGATTCATAGGTTTTCCTCTAGCTTATGTTAGAAGTTTGGATATTTTGTTTGTTATCTCCTTATGTCTTGAATTTCGTGACACGCTATCGGTGGGTCCAGTACAAACTCTAGCCTATATATAAGTTCATCACTTACCTTACACATAATGTAACCTTATCCCTCCTACACGATAAAAAAGAACTCATAATAAAAAAAAAAAACCTTTTTTTATTATATAGGAATATTTCCCATGGATCTCAACTTGCCTCCTCAAAGTTCTCGTTCATCCCGTGTGAGGAGGTTAATCCAATTTTTCTCAGAAGACCCTACTCCTTCTCTTCAAAACTTAAGGGATAGGGAAAATGAAGCAGCTCTTGCTTCCATGTCGCTGGAGGACCGCTTAGTTGTTGATTCTCCTACGGGATTTTCTAACCAAATTCTCCCCACAACTACTTCTCCTACCCCTTTGGTGAGGCCTGTGTTGGTAGGTAATTTCTCTCAAAAGTTTCGTATGAGTGATCCTTCAGAGACCTTAGTTATAATTGTGGCAGACACTGCGGTTTTAGCCATATCTCTAAGTCTACAATTTCCTTTAAGCTTGACTTACTCTATTTTGGCCATCATAAGTCACAAAACACTCCCTTTTCCTCATAACTCCGGAGAGAGTTCTAGCTCTACATCCCCATTACCCGTCAACCTTACGAGTCCTAGGACACTTAGGTTGTTGTTGTGGGATGTTCGAGATTAATCTATGACTCAACTTCTCGGTCATCTCCTCACGCTACTCAAAACATACCAACCTACTTGTTTTGTTCTTCTTCTTTCGGACCCTAGAACAGGCAAAGAGGTGGCTAAGGGTTTTGGTATTCGAACATACTCAGTCTTCCGCGGGTCCGGCTCTCTCCCACCAAACTTATTCTTATGGGGTGAAACATGTTTCTTTTCTATGAACCAAGTGACTGCAGATTCAATAAGTTTATCTGCCTATGTTTCGCATCGTAGGACTTCCTCAGAGGTTCCATTACGAGAAGGGAAGGGTCCGAGTCAAAGTTCAGCTAACCAGGCCTGGTTAAATTTATCGGATTTTGCTTCTCATGATCTCTTAAAGGCAACAATGGGTGGGCCATCGAGCTATTTGCTTTTTAAAGAAATTTTCCTCCAAAAAATACCTGAATCCAGAATTCCTTCACTCGTGATTCCCGAAACATTATGAACAATAGGCCAAAGGGGTATTTTTTCTTTAATGGACATATTTTCAAGGGCACGAATAACTGATCCTTGGGTGCACTCAAAACCTTACACACTCTCCTTTGCAGCTATCTCCGATGGTGAATTCAAAAGTAGGGGTGGGTTCACATTACGGAATGCTGAGGAGAACTGGGTGGTCGGGTTCAGTTCTAAAGTTAAAGGGCCTGGCCTATCACTCTTTGTCTTATCATTACTACAACAAGGTTTAAAAAAGGCCCGCCTGCTACGAGTGAAGCATTTGGAAGTGCTGGTAGATGTTGGCATTTATAATCTAGTCTTGGCTAGTTTAGACATCTCCACCACAGAGGTTGAGTTAATGTTATGTGACATACTCCAAATGATGTGCTCACATGATTGGGAGATTAGTATACGACATTTCTTGCAGGATGATTTAAAAGGGGCTTTATTTCTTGCTGAGTACTGTCAAAGATTCCCCTGGGGTCATCATAAAGAGTTTAAAATTCCTCCCTCCACTAAAATTCTAATTGGTCCTTATTAGCTTTTGGTCCACTTAACACATGTACTTTGGTCAATAATGAATTAATAAAGAATTTCATTTTATGTAAATAAATTATCTAAATTAAGTACGGGTTTGGCCATCCTAAATATCTTTTTTTTATTAAAAAAAAGAGGATTGGTTCAACAATGGGGACAATCGCAAATTACTTAATCATTGTTAAAAAGTTCTTTCTACTTTTTCATTTCCCGCTTTGCAAAAAGTATTTATAAAGAGAGATGGAAATAGAAATAGGGCCTATGTCCCTGTTACATATGAAGACGTTATTAGGATGGTAACGCCAATTGTCAAAGCTTTAGCACCGCGAATCCTAAAACAACAAAAAATCGAGAAGTGCAAAGGCCGCGCCCGAAGGCTGCCTACGTATCCCGAAATAAGGATGTTCTTCGGGAATCAGGCCCAAACGTAGCTCTAGGAAACATGTTATTATTCCTCATTACTATTATATATATATATTTATATTTTTGGTTCTCTTACAACTAATCATACATTTTTTTTAAGTGGAAAATAAATACATAATACATAAAATAGTCCGTCGATGGCGTTTTTTTTTTATTTCAAGGCTTGTAACTTCGATGTGGTAAACCCTTGTTTCGCTTGATGTCGTTGTAGAATCCCTTTGAATCTTGTCATACAGATTGGGTTGCTTACTTTCCATGAAGATATTGCCCACACTATACCTTTGAGGGTTGATCCATCCTCAACTATACGCTTCGTTTGTAAAGTCTCCGGGAATGGTAATTACTCCAAGTGGCGTTACCAACTTTACTTTTTGATGGAGAGTCGATGCGACCCCTTTATACTCGTGTAGCCAAGGTTGTCCTAAGAGTAGGTTATATGAAGTCGGACAATTGATGACCATAAATCTGACAGAGAAAACCATGGTCTCGTAACTTAAAGGCAAAATGATGTACCCAGTTACTTCTCGTGGAGTATCATCAAAACCAAGGATTGTGTAAGACAAAGGATTGATAAAAGAATCCGTGTATCCCAACCTATAAAGGAATTCTCGAGAGCATATGTCTAATGCAGACCCATTGTCGACCAATATGTGATTTATGTAGGTTCGTCCATGTCTTAGCGTGATGTGTAGGTCTCGCGTATGCCATGGGTTTGGGGGTAAATCAGCTTCGGTGAATGTCCATTCTTGATGATTGGTTTGAAGTTGGAGAATCATTGAAGATTCACTGAGCCTATTCCCATGACACAGAACACCAGCATAAGATTCATGTTCGGGTAGTATGGTGTCAAATGAATCAACCAATTGATTAGAATATGGTCGGTGGAGATCAAAATGGTTGCAACTCATTCTTGAATTTCCAATAGCAGATACTTTAGGACAATCCTTCTCATCTTTTGATGTTTTTGCCTTTAGGATAGCAAAATCTAGCTCAATTACCGAAAGAGTGTATTCTCGATTGCATAGTATGTTCTTGGACATAAATGCTTTGGTGTTGGTTGATTCCTCAAATAGATCAATGGTGATTGTCTTTAATTGACGAATGAGTGCATCTCGATGAGTTGGTGAGTCAGAGATCAACTCCCATAATGACATCGCATTGCCCTTGTTTCGAGATTTCAACTGATTATGTTGAAGTGTTGGGTTTTCTATTGACCTGACCACGTTACAGTATACTGGGGGCATCTTTGCCATTGGTATATCACCATGTATAACCATCACTCCTTCCGGTGTTGAGAATTTTACTTTTTGATGAAGAGCAGAAGCAATAGCTTGAGTGTCGTGGAGCCATGGTTTTCTCAAAATAAGAGGAAAGTTGATAGGAGCTTCAACCACTTGAAACTATACATCACATAACCAATCTTCATGTCGTAGTTGCATATTAATGGTCCCTATTGCCTTTCTCGGGACGTGATCATGTGTAATTATGATTGCATTAGAAATTCCCAAAGGCACACTTTTTTGTCTTAACTTACATAAGGACTCTTTAGAGAAAATGTTAAAATTCGATTTGTTATTAACCAAAATGCCTGAAATCCGGCGATAATTACACCCCAAAGTAACACACAAGGGTTGGCTAAAATTGATGACCCTTGGTAAATCGGCATTAGTGAAGGACGATATAGGTGGGATCCATCCTTTTGGGATTGAGATTTTTCCGTCATCAATTAGTTGTTGCACCACATGTGTCACATCGAAGCAACCTTCTATGTCATGCCCGTGGTCATGGCAGTAAGAGCAGTATTTCCCCATGTTTACTTTGGGAGATGGCAAAATACAATTATAA